TCAACATCACGCTTGAAGAACTTTGATAAATTTTTCTTTCCACGTGGACAGGAATTTAAGGCAATCAAAGCCACTTTTGCAAACCTTAGCGCAAAAAACAGAGAGTATTTGATGCATTTTTTTTGTTTTTCCGTGTCGTGTAGTACGAAAATATTGGGTCACAAATTCAAAACAGGCGACAGTTTAGGGGATAATTTTTCAGTTTTGTCGAGTAATTGTAAACTTGTCTTCACTGAAAAATGGTAAAAGATGCCATGGAAAGTGCGATGTTTAAATATCATTTAAGTCGGAAACCGTTTCAATGAGAAAAGTAAGGTCTCACGTTATACGTTTTTTCGTTGAATGTAACGTTAGTGTACACGTACCTGTACACAGACCCTGCAGGAATCTGGCCCGTAAACATGGCTAGCCACGCGCCGCGCGCGGCGCTCCGTTTGTATTAATCTTTCGACGCGTTGGCAAATAAATGTATACATTTAACTGAAACGATTTACAACTGACTGGTTCCCGCCCCTAAAATGCAAGTACGATCACAGAGGGCACTGGGACCAGTGTATTTGTGCACGAAGCTTTCAAAATGGGTTTACTCGAAAAATGACGATTTTTATAAGCTACAGGTTTCCTTCTTACATCAAATCACCTGTAAAATGATAATAATCTATCATCCTTTCCGATGGTACTACGGCTGATCTAAGGTAAACCCGGAAAATTGTCAAAATGTGTAAACCAAAGTCAAAAACGAAAAATTTTTCCTTTTCATTTTGTACGTTTTTTGTCCATAATTATTGGGGTTTTTTTTATATTTTAAAAGGTTTTTCGCGCCATTACCACACTGTAGAGACAATTTATATCTTTGTTCACTTGGTCTACTGATAATTTTTGGTTTGAATCATCTTTTAAGTACGTTTGAGAAGGATACATTTTAAGACATGAAAACCAGACAATCGTTCAGTGCGTCGTCTGCTACCGCTCTTTGCAAGCCGACGACGTGGAGGAAACCATTGCGCATGCGTGAGAAGACGAACTAAATGCACGCACGGTCTATGGGGCTGAAACATACGTGTGAATGTATGAGGTATGTAAATGAAATCTGGGCAGGCGCGGTTCTAGAACCAATATTTTGGGGGACCAGCACGGTGGATCCAGAATTTTTTCAGGGAGGCGTGCTGAAATGTTGACCAGTTATTTTTCCCAGACACTTAGGCCTCCGAAAATCAATAGGTGGGGTGGGGGGGGGGGGGGGGGGGTCGGGTCATGCCATATTTTCAATGGGGAGCGCCAATAAAATCCTAAAATCATTCACACTATATTAACTAATGCACCCTTGTCACGGCTATTTCTTCTTTAGGGGGAGACCGTTCGCATGTAGATCAAAACCCTTCTTTTTGCTAATGCAATTTTTTTTTAACGGAATTTATTTTTGGGGGGCTAGACAAAAATTTTGGGGGCTACAGCCCCCCCTAGAACCGCGCCTGAATCTGGGGAGGGATATTAGAGGTGAAAAAGGACAATTTTTGACAGGCCATTCTGGAAGGGTCTCTTGCTACCACACTCTAACTCCCTAGTTATGTCTCCAGCACTACATCATGTGAATGAATATGAGAATGTCAGCTAGAGTTACTCAAGCTAAAGTAATGGTACACTTACTATCAGTGCGACAGTTCCGGCTCACTTTTTATACAAACCGCTGTACATGTACATCTGCCCGTGTTCAGAGTTTCCATGTCCAAGTGACATAACTTGCACTTTGTACTATAATACTCCTCCTTTTCAAGTTAAAACCAAATATGTTCAGACTCAACTTAAAAGGGAAATAAATCATGTTTTTTGTACAGGACTGGACCTGAAAGTTGGGGATCACTTTTGACAGTTGCGGATCATGCATGCCGTGCCAGCTCTTACCTGTACAATTCATCATACATGGTGCGCTCAGCGTACGCATCGTCTGTCACGCCTGTCATCATGCAGATCACACACAAAATCGTGGGCATACATGTAGGTGATCCGCAACTGTCTCACGCGGGATTAAAAATCTTTCAGCGAAAAACGGCAATTCAGTTAATATTTGAATGCCAAAATCATATTATTCTGTGATACTTGATATTTTTCCATACAAGAAAACATAATATAGTCCAGAAAAAAAGATAAGTGTTGACAACGTAACGGAGGAAACCAGAATTTTGCCTTACGCGCTTCCCTTCACAGGTCGGTTACAAAACCAGCAGAAATTTCGCAGAAATTGCAAACTGATTGGATTGAATTGGAGAAAGTTTACACTTGAATTAATTTTTATTTAATCAAGTGATCCGAAACTGTCAAAGATCTACGCTCGTACCCCCCCCCCCCCACTCTGCAAATTAAACAGGACACTTGGAAGGGCTGATGAATTCATGCTCTGATTGGATAGATTTTGCATGACCTGTGACCTGCACGTCATCACGACCATGTACCACGATCCTGCAAGGTTTCAAACGGCCGTTAAGACTAATTCATTACTCTTTTATTCCAATTTATCAATGCTTTTGTTTTCGTTGAAAAGTGTTATAATGTAGGAAAATCTGTAAACCTTATCTGTGTTGTAAATTTGCGATTCCCGTCACTTAGTCAGGTTCGGCCGTTTCGTCCACAAAGTCCGCAATGAAAAAGAAATCACATCCGGTATGGAATTTGTGCATTTCTATTGGAGGTTTTCAGATAGTGTTTGCGCGCATTGTCTAACTGCCGTCTTGAACAGCTGTAGCCAGATGCTTTATATATAGGCCACTACCTTCACAAGATTCTGTGAAGCTCATCAGCCCTTTCCAGTGCCCTGTTTGCAGGGCGGTGGGTACGAGCTAATCAATGATCCGGAACTGTCACACTTTAATACTACATGTATGTTATAAAGCTGTAAGTCCTTGCTGTGGTGGTTGTTCCCCTCATGCTGAATAAAATGGTGTGATCAAAACTTTGCTCTGTAATGGACTGACATCAGTGGTTTACAACAGAATGACATGCTCAGAATCATAAATTATGACCTACATATAAGACCTCTTTGTCAAGTTCTTTTCCTGTGGAAATTGAGGTCTTTGGTGTTTGAAACTCTTGTGTGCTTCAGGTATGATTTTGAATGGAAAAACTCACATTTGGGGACAAAATTAAAAAAATTATGATTTGGGGCCAAAAATGTAAATGTTTATACCAAATTTGCAAGCATTTGAATGCAAAATGTAGGAGTTACCATATGCCAAAAATACTGTTTATGACAAAAATAGATAACAAAATTAAAAGTAAAGCGCCCTCTTGTTATGGCAGCAACACAACTAAATGAGTTCAAATATCATTCAGTACCTACCAACCAGAATTCTCGCAAATTTCAGGAAAATAGGCCAAAGCATATGCTCAGTGAAGCAGTGGCTAGAAAATCTCCACCTGGGCCACTGATATCAATATGCAATTTACATGTACCTTATGCTTCACAATGGTTGACAAGATGATCAATTATTACTAAAGAAAATTGGACCCCCAGGTTGACATTTGCACGGAATTGGGTTTTCATAGTTAGGCTTTATCTAAATCATTTGTTGTTCCTGAAGCATTCGTAAGCCCTTCATGTCCAAATGAAATAGAAATACCTTCACCTATAATAGGGATTCATGCTACCGGTACATGATTAGATGAAGCAGCATGAGGCACTCATACTGAAACACTGTCTTCAAAACTCTCGAAACCTGAGCCAAAGAGGAAGACAGGGTTTTACTGAAAATAATTTCTTCGTTCAACAGATTTCAAGATGGCTGAAGTGACAATAGAAGATGTCCTGGACAAGATCAGTCAGGGTCACCTGGAGTGTACGATTTGCATCCAACGCTTCAACCGTCCCAAAATCCTCGACTGCCTCCACAGCTTTTGCCTTGGATGCCTAGAGGATTACAAACGCACCCAATATCCATCAAGCCCTAATCTTCCATGCCCACTCTGCCGAAAGGAAACTGTCCTACCTGACAACAGAATTGCTGGTCTCCCCAACAACTTCACCATGACTGCACTGGTCGAGGAATTCAAGCATCAGGAAAATATTGTGAAGAGGCAGAAGTCGAGGATAGTGTGCGAGGTTTGTGAAGACGACGAGGCAATTTCCAGATGTATTGACTGTGCAGAGTACCTGTGCTGCGAGTGCCAGAGAGCACACCAACGGGCAGTGAAGACGAACAAGCATGAGATTGCGACCCTGGAGGATCTGCGGTCATGGAAGGCAACCTATGAGGACATCGAGGCAGCAGAAATGTCATTCCAAAATGAGGCCCGAAACTACACCCCAACCATCCCGCACACCCTGTCATTCCAGACTATGCCTACTGGGGGTAGGCCCCAGTTTGCAGGGAACCCGCGTGCCGCTGCTGCTGGGGCGACGCCAACCCGTCCTGTTCATCATAGTTTTCCACTGCAGCCGGCTCCGTCTGCCCAACGCATCACCACCCCGTCATTCCAGACTATGTCTGCTGGGGGTTGTAGGCCCCAGTTTGCAGGGAACCCGCGTACCACTGCTGCTGGGGCGACGCCAACCCGTCCTGTTCATCATAGTTTTCCACTGCCACTGGCTCCGTCTGCCCAAAGCATCACCACCCCGTCATTCCAGACTATGGCTGCTGGGGATTGGCCCCAGTTTGTAGGGAACCTGCGTGCCGCTGCTGCTGGGGCGACGCCAACCCGTCCTGTTCATCATAGTTTTCCACTGCCGCTGGCTCCATCTGCCCAAAGCATCACAACCCCGTCATTCCAGACTATGCCTGCTGGGGGTTGGCCCCAGTTTGCAGGGAACCTGCGTGCCGCTGCTGCTGGGGCGACGCCAACCCGTCCTGTTCGTCATAGTTTTCCACTGCCGCTGGCTCCGTCTGCCCAACGCATCACCACCCCGTCATTCCAGACTATGCCTGCTAGTAGTAGGCGGAATTAACCCACGTGCTGCTGCTGCTGGGGCGACGCCAACCCTTCCTGTTCATCGTAGTGTTTCACTGCAGCTGGCTCCCAGAGCCATGAAGTACATCCCAGCAACTGAAGGTTCTCGCAACCCTCAACTAGTCCAGGCCATGCCTAAGGCCGCTCAACAGGCTGTGCCCCAACAGGCCATCGAGGTCGTTGGCCAAGAACCCCTAACCCCCAGCATGTTGGCTGCTGCCTCCCCTCAGCAACAGAAGCAGATGTTGGGAGAGCATCTCCTCCCACTGATCCAACGCAGTCACGGCGAGCTGGCCGGTAAGATCACTGGTATGCTGCTGGAGACTGATAACTCGGAGTTGCTGCATATGCTGGAGTCCTACGAACTCCTCAAAGCCAAGGTGGATGAAGCTGTAAATGTTCTGAAGGCCCACCAGGCCAAGAAAGGACCAACCCTCTCCAATGCCCAACGCATCACCACCTTCTCTGGCCATCATCAATTCGACATTTATTTTCACATTGACATCCTCGGTAACAATTCAGACAGAAAACAGTATATATATGTATAAACAAATTTAACAAAACATTCTTCAAAGACAGTATGTAATTAAGTGTAAATATTAAATGATATCAACATAAAGGAAAAAGGTGAAGCACTGCTTTTGTACCTTTCCCTGGGACAGGACAAAACTTAAACAACTAACTACACACGGACTAAGACAAGACAATAGGTTTAAGAGTGAGACCCGGTACAATATGTAAAATAATGACTAAGCAAAGCAGAGAAAAAAAATGTTTTTTAAGTTAAAGTATAAGTGTTGATGATTGATTTTTTCAATCTTTTAGCAAATGAAACCACAGTAGTACACTCTTTTACACCAATGTTGAGTTCATTCCAGTATATGACACCACGTTGAAATGGACTGTTTCTAAAAAAAGAAGTTCTATTTTTTCTCACAAACAGATCACCTTTCAATGAACTACGTGTTTCATATGAATGAACAGAAGTAAATGACAACAGATGATTAAAAATTGGAGGGAGCATGTTGTGAGTATATTGAAACATAAGTATACCCAGTCGGTGGTGGTAGAGATCATTCAGTTTCAGAATATTAAGTTTGGCAAATAAAGGAGTGGTATGATCAAAGTAACCTGCATTATTTACAATATGATCAGCTTTCTTCTGCAACTTAAAAAGTTTGTTGGAGCCATGTACAGTTGAAGATCCAAAAAGAAAGTAGGCCATAATTCAAGTATGAAAGAATAAAGGAATTGTATAATGTTAAAAGAATATTTTTAGGTACAAAATTCTTCAGACGATTCATAACCCCAACATTTTTAGAAATTTTACTACATAAAACATCAATGTGGCGATTCCAAGTGAGATTTTCGTCTATACAAAGTCCAAGAAATTTAGTAGTCTTGACTTGATTGAGTACAGTACCATCAAAACTAAGAGAAACTGTGGCCTGGTATTTATGTTGGCGTGAACAAAAAATAATGTAATTAGTCTTAAGCAAATTAATTGATAATTTGTTCGAAATGAGCCATCTACTTATTTTAACAAGTTCAACATTAACAGTTTGGATGGCTGTATCCACATTATGGTGATTGTAAATTAAATTAGTATCATCTGCAAATAAACAGAAAGACATGACATTAGAAGATCTACAAATATCATTGATATAAATAATAAATAGTAATGGACCTAACACACTTCCTTGAGGGACTCCACAAGTGATGGACTGTTCTAAAGAGTGATGTAAATTATAAGTAACAAACTGCCTTCTATTTGCTACATAACTTCTGAACCAGTCCAAGGCCAACCCTCGGACACCAAAATGCTCCAATTTATATAAAAGGATGTCATGGTTAACAGTGTCGAAGGCCTTGGACAGGTCCAGGAAAAAAACGACAGAAAATCCCCCCCCCCACCCCCACAGAAGTGTGGTTGGGGTCTACGAACGAATACTTTAATACCTGTAGAGCAATACTACTTATGCATGTTCCCCCTACAGGCAGGTATTTTCCGCTAAGAGTTATATACAATAGCACCCTCTGGCACCCTACCCATAATACATTCAGTATCCAGAGAGAAAACTAAACTTTTTGGATTTTTATAAAATGTCCCCAAAACTTCAATGTTTTCCATAGCCGGCATCATCGAAAAAGTCAGTTTTTGAACCAAAAATCCAAGTCGACAAAAATTGCTCAAAAGTTTACACCAGGTGCCTAGAGGCAGGAATTGAATTCCCTGAAGAGTTCAACTCATTACATTCAGTATCCACTGAGAAAACCAATTTTTTTGGCATTTTATAAAATGTTCCCAAAACTTCAATGTTTTCCACAGCCGGCATCATCAAAAAAGTCAGTTTTTGACCCAAAAATCCAAGTCGACAAAAATTGCTTGAAAGTTAAAACACGAGGTGCCCACAGGCCAGAAATGAATTCCCTGAAGAGTTCAACTCATTACATTAAGTATCAACAGAGAAAACTAAACTTTTTGGCTTTTTATAAAATGTCCCCAAAACTTCAACGTTTTCCATAGCCGGCATCATCGAAAAAGTCAGTTTTTGACCCAAAAATCAAACTCGAAAAAAATTGCTCAAAAGTTTACACCAGGTGCCTAGAGGCCAGAATTGAATTCCCTAAAGAGTTCTACTCATTACATTCAGTATCCACTGAGAAAACCAAACTTTTTTCGCTGTTTATAAAATGTCCCCAAAACTTCAACGTTTTCCATAGCCGGCATCATCGAAAAAGTCAGTTTTTTACCCAAAAATCAGACTCGACAAAAATTGCTAAAAATGTCACACGAGGTGCCTAGAGGCCAGAATTGAATTCCCTGAAGAGTTCTACTCATTACATTAAGTATCCACTGAGAAAACCAAACTTTTTGGCCGTTTATAAAATGTCCCCAAATTTCAACGTTTTCCATAGCAGGCATCATCGAAAAAGTCAGTTTTTGACCCAAAAATCCAACTCGACAAAAATTGCTCAAAAGTTTACACGAGGTGCCCACAGGCCAGAAATGAATTCCCTGAAGAGTTAAACTCATTACATTCAGTATCCATTGAGAAAACCAATTTTATTTTGTTTTAAATAAAATGTACCCAAAACTTCAATGTTTTCCATAGCCGGCATCATCGAAAAAGTCAGTATTTGACCCAAAAATCCAACTGGACAAAAATTGCCCAAAAATTTACACCAGGTGTCTAGAGGCCAGAAATGAATTCCCTGAAGAGTTCAACTCATGACATTCAGTATCCACTGAGAAAACCAAACTTTTTGGCTTTTTATAAAATGTCCCCAAAACTTCAATGTTTTCCATAGCCGGCATCATCGAAAAAGTCAGTTTTTGACCCAAAAATCCAACTCGACAAAAATTGCTCAAAGGTTTACACCAGGTGCCTATAGGCAAGAAATGAATTCCCTGAAGAGTTCAACTCATTACATTCAGTATCCACTGAGTAAACCAAACTTGTTGGCTTTTTAAAAAATTTTCCTAAAACTTCAATGTTTTCCATAGCCGGCATCATCGAAAAAGTCAGTTTTTGACCCAAAAATCCAACTCGACAAAAATTGCTCAAAAGTTTACACCAGGTGCCTAGAGGCCAGAAATGAATTCCCTGAAGAGTTCAACTCATTACATTCAGTATCCACTGAGAAAACCAAACTTTTTGGCCGTTTATAAAATGTCCCCCAAATTTCAACGTTTTCCATAGCCGGCATCATCGAAAAATTGCTCAAAAGTTTACACCAGGTGCCTATAGGCAAGAAATGAATTCCCTGAAGAGTTCAACTCATTACATTCAGTTTTCACTGAGTAAACCAACTATGTCACACGAGGTGCCTAGAGGCCAGAATTGAATTCCCTGAAGAGTTCTACTCATTACATTAAGTATCCACTGAGAAAACCAAACTTTTTGGCCGTTTATAAAATGTCCCCCAAATTTCAACGTTTTCCATAGCCGGCATCATCGAAAAAGTCAGTTTTTGACCCAAAAATCCAACTCGACAAAAATTGCTCAAAAGTTTACACGAGGTGCCCACAGGCCAGAAATGAATTCCCTGAAGAGTTAAACTCATTACATTCAGTATCCATTGAGAAAACCAATTTTATTTTGTTTTAAATAAAATGTACCCAAAACTTCAATGTTTTCCATAGCCGGCATCATCGAAAAAGTCAGTATTTGACCCAAAAATCCAACTGGACAAAAATTGCCCAAAAATTTACACCAGGTGTCTAGAGGCCAGAAATGAATTCCCTGAAGAGTTCAACTCATGACATTCAGTATCCACTGAGAAAACCAAACTTTTTGGCTTTTTATAAAATGTCCCCAAAACTTCAATGTTTTCCATAGCCGGCATCATCGAAAAAGTCAGTTTTTGACCCAAAAATCCAACTCGACAAAAATTGCTCAAAGGTTTACACCAGGTGCCTATAGGCAAGAAATGAATTCCCTGAAGAGTTCAACTCATTACATTCAGTATCCACTGAGTAAACCAAACTTGTTGGCTTTTTAAAAAATTTTCCTAAAACTTCAATGTTTTCCATAGCCGGCATCATCGAAAAAGTCAGTTTTTGACCCAAAAATCCAACTCGACAAAAATTGCTCAAAAGTTTACACCAGGTGCCTAGAGGCCAGAAATGAATTCCCTGAAGAGTTCAACTCATTACATTCAGTATCCACTGAGAAAACCAAACTTTTTGGCTTTTTATAAAATGTACCCAAAACTTCAATGTTTTCCATAGCCGGCATCATCGAAAAAGTCAGTTTTTGACCAAAAAATCCAACTCGACAAAAATTGCTCAAAAGTTTACACCAGGTGCCTATAGGCAAGAAATGAATTCCCTGAAGAGTTCAACTCATTACATTCAGTTTTCACTGAGTAAACCAAACTTTTTGGCTTTTTAAAAAATGTCCCCAAAACTTCAATGTTTTCCATAGCCGGCATCATCAAAAAAGTCAGTTTTTGACCCAAAAGTCCAACTCGACAAAAATTGCTCAAAAGTTTACACCAGGTGCCTAGACGCCAGAAATGAATTCCCTGAAGAGTTCAACTCATGACATTCAGTATCCACTGAGAAAACCAAACTTTTTGGCTTTTTATAAAATTTCCCCAAAACTTCAATGTTTTCCATAGCCGGCATCATCGAAAAAGTCAGTTTTTGACCCAAAAATCCAACTCGAGAAAAATTGCTCAAAAGTTTACACCAGGTGCCTAGAGGCCAGAAATTAATTCCCTGAAGAGTTCAACTCATTACATTCAGTATCCACTGAGAAAACCAAACTTTTTAGCTTTTTATAAAATGTCCCCAAAACTTCAATGTTTTCCATAGCCGGCATCATCGAAAAAGTCAGTTTTTGACCCAAAAATACAACTCGACAAAAATTGCTCAAAAGTTTACACCAGGTGCCTAGAGGCAAAAAATGAATTCCCTAAAGAGTTCAACTAATTACATTCAGTATCCACTGAGAAAACCAAACTTTTTGGCTTTTTATAAAATGTCCCCAAAACTTCAATGTTTTCCATAGCCGGCATCATCGAAAAAGTCAGTTTTAGACCCAAAAATCCAAAT